CTAATACTCAAGGCAACAATCTCATCATAACCCAACCCTAAGCATAATAAATCCTATCTTTTTAATAATAAGACTAAACTGCCTTTAGGCGCAGGTCTAACATTATTCCCCTCCCAAAAAGATATATTTTACTCAAGGTGGGCAAAAAAGATACTGATTATGGATCAAGTCATGTAGCTCCCACTCATAAACTGAATTTAATCCGGCTCTTGTCCTCAACACTTGATTGAAATAAATGATGGATTGTTGATATTGCCTGAGGACTAGGCTTAATTCGTAGCCTTAAGCATTTTTATCTACAATAAAAGATTGGTTGAATCAGGTAATGACGATACTGATACACTTGTTATGACCTTTAACTTCTCAAAAACCTCGGTCGCCTCTTTCTCCATAGAAAATTTTCATTCTTCAATTTTTCCTGATGTCTTGCAATTTCCTCCAAATGCCGCCGCTCAAATTCACTCCTGAATCATTCGTTGAATGCCACCCGCTTTTATCCATTTCAATCGTCTGGATGTCACTCTATTCTTTCTAAGCGCTTTCACTCGAGTATGCACCCGATTTCTTCTCTCGATCCTGCGGCTCTCGATTTGCCTAGAACAACGACGTTGCCCTGATGCCACAACATTTTTCACATTGATGTCGCTTAAGTTCGCTCTAGATGTCGTTGTGGGCTGAGACGGTTTTGTTTAAAACTCCAGAATCTTCATCATTTTTTCCCGAGCCGTGAATCTCCTCTTCATTGATTAGAGCTTCCCTATAGGGCTCTAAAGAGGTGAGAAATGCTCTTTCATTTCAGATCTAATTTGTCTCACATTTTCCTTCAATTTATTCTCCAAATCATCCTTTTTTATTAGTTGCAACTGGTCCCTGTATGGTTTCAAAACTTCTTTAAGACACGATCTCACTACATGCTGTCTCAAATCGCGATAGTATCTCATCATCTTGCAATTGTATCGCACAATCTCGTATGATTGGAGAGGGACAAGAATAGTCGGAGACAGAAAACACGATTTTGTCGTCTCCCACAATTAGCTCTTATCGAGACAATCGAACGAAAGAAATGACTATATGTTGCAATCTTGTCGGTCTTCCCAATTTGCTCGGATCAAGACTATTTCGTGAGCCCTGGTCACGAATGTTGGCGGTGCCTGTAAGCTGTGTTCTCGTCGTTGATCTCCCAAAAATTAAATGCTCTTATACCAAATTGATACGAACAAAAGACGAATTCCCACTGAAATTAGGACAAAAAAATATTTTTTTCAATAACACAAAACAACACAATCCAAATATATTATGATAAGCACCTACAATTCGAAAGGTAGACAATCTCTCCCAAATACCTACAATTTGAATGGTATACGATCTATCCCAAAACCTAATCCTAAGACTCAAGACAACGATCTCATTATAACCCAATCCTAAGCATAATAAGCTTTATTTATGGGCTTATTTTTTGAGCTGAATGGTGAAGTTCACGCGGGATAATTCTTTTTGTGTACTAATGTACAAAATCATTGTATGTTGGATAATATATAAGATTCCTATTTATAGATTTCAGTCATTAATAATAAGATAACAAACTTAAATGCAAATTTCTCACTTAATCTTGACAAAAATGAAAAATGTCTGTGATCAAAATGATAGAATGACTCAAATAATCTTAAGCCATTGATGAAATGACTTCTAAGTTGTGGATATGAATCGATTTAAATTTGTGCTCAACCATTTTTTCAAATGCATCTTGCTCTAAACTTAAGATGACACTTATTGTTTGGATGATTTATGGGTTTATTCTTTGAGCTAAATAGTGAAGTTCATGCTCAAAATTTTTCATTTTTAGCGCTATAGCCGCATGACACGAACGGGTACAAATGTCCATTGAAATAAAGGCAAACAAATATTTTCTTCGATAACATGAGTTAACACAGTCCAGATATATAAAGATAAGCACCTATAATTTAAGAGGCTGGCGGTCTCTCCCAAACCCTATCCTTAAGGCTCAAGCTAACAATGTCATCATAATCTAACCTTGAGCATCATAAGCCCCTATTATACTCTACAATAATAACCAATAACAAGACTAGATTGCCCGTTGGCGCCGATCTAACATTACAAATTTGATACGAACGAAGACGAATTTCTACTGAAAATTTGAGCAAACAAATATTTTCTTCAATAACACGAAACAACACAATTTAAATACATAAAGATAAGCAACTACAACTAGATAGGTAGGCTATCTCTCCCTAACATATACAATTCGAGAGGTAGGTGATTTCCATCAAATCCTAACCCTAAGACTCGATACAACAATCTCATCATAACCTAACCATAAGTATAATAAACCTTATTTATACCTCACAATAGTAACTAATAAAAAGATTAAGGGTGTGTCTAGGGCAGCGGTGCGGAGCCGCACCGCATTTTTTTTGTGTTCAGAAAAACTACGTTTTGCCTGCATTTTTCAAAAAACTGCAGTGGAATGCTGCGTTTTGCAACCTGACCTGATTAAGTGCGGTGATTGCTAGAAATTTTTTATCTGACTTTATGGAAAAAAGAAATTGTAATATCCACCTCGGCTTTGTGAACAACAACAGCTTCTTCTGCAGTAGTTTTACTATTGTTTCTTCAAGCCGTTACAGCTGCCCTAAACACACCTAAATTGTCCTTAGGTACCGGTTTGACATTGCATCTTGGATTGTTGAGCTCAGATTTCCTTATGTAGATAGACACAAATGCTGGTTATATTTATAAATATGTATTGTGGGATAAGCATCTCCTAGGAGAAAATTCGCTATTATCCACATAATAAGATTTTGATGATTTGATATTCACTATTATAATCATTTCATAATCTTTCGGATAAATATCATTAAACTTAGTTTCATGCACAATTTCATGTCTTTAGACTTGTTTTTTTTTTAGTAAGATGCATTAAATTTTCACAATGAATGACTCTTTTTACATCAGAATATAATCGTGATTTCAAAATGTAGACTTTCAGTTTGCTCCAAATTAAATAATGGGTGGAATTCTAAGAAATTTTTTATTTTTTATATGATTTTATATTTTTTCATTGTGTGTGTGATCTTTTATTTGTTTCGTACATTGTATGTGTTCGAAAGTTACTTTGGTCATGCAACTTTTTGGGGCATTTACATACATTGCACACAATTCTAAAGTACTCACATATCACACACCTAAGTTTGATTTTTACACACAGAGCATTTAAATATTTAATATCACATCAAAAATAGCAATATTATCACTTTATAAAAGTGAAATATACTTTTTCATATATAGGTTTAAAGCTTGAAAGTTTTGTGTGTAAATATTGATGTATAGGTGTAAGATATGTAAATAAATAAGAATTGTGTGCCAGGTACGTAAGTTTTCCCATATTTTTCTTTTTGTTCATCAAGGCAAAATTGTAGCTCTAATTAAATAATGTGGAGCTATCAAAGATTGGTTTCATCCCTGGCATGCCTTTTTTTGTTATCTAATTCAAGGCTAATTTCATTTGTTTAATCCTCCTTTATGACATCCTGAATTTGAAAGGGGTTTTTTGAAGGAGATAGGCAGTTTTTATTGGGGTAGAGCCTAACAAAATAAGCAACTCTTGACATGTTTTTAGGATATTATACTTATAAGAGTAAAAGACATGAATATACTAAATCCCACTACGGTAGTGGAGGTAAGATTAGTAAACAAATATGCGAGGTACATTTTCGTGTGATTGGTGGAGTTTTGTGATGAATTCATTGGTCATATGTCCCCCATGATCGAGCCTCCATTATTGCAATGGGTGACTCATAAGTTTCTCTAAGAAAGCTAAAATTGTACGGTTCAATTTATTATGGGATTTTGATTGAGTTGTTATATTTGGTATCAGAGCTAGACTTCTAATAGGATGTGTTGTTTAATGGCGAAACAAGTAGAAGTTGGTGCGCTTGTGACAGAACTTGAAGTAGGCAATCCAAAGAGGGTGGGAAGTGAGGAACAAGACAAAAGCCTAAGCAAGGAATGATACGAGGCAACCTTCTAGATGAAAAGGAGAACAAGAATGAATTAAATCTTGGGAATTTTACATGCATACCTCACAATTCTTTTACATTTCTAACACATAAACTTTTATAATATGCATAGATATGCATGACAAGGTGTATTTCATTTTTAAAATGCTAGCAACAGTGGTATTTTTTATGTGATCTTAAAGACTTGAATGTTATGAATGTAAATAGTGAAGTTAGGTTTTAGATATGTAAATACATAAAAATTGTGTGGTATATGCATAAATGGCCCTTAAATCTTTAATTGAAAATCACAGAAAGTTTATTAGACTATAGTAGTAAATGTTTAGATTCCAATGTGATGTATCTTTTGGTGTAATGAGTGAAACCTTCCCTCTGATGGGAAGTATAAAACTATAAACTTTAGTGAAATTTACATGCATACCGCTCAATTCTTATGTACTTACGTATCAAACACCCAGAGTTTGATATTGACACTTATAATACTTTGGTGTCATAATCTTATGCATGAAAATGTGTATTTTTCACTTTTAAAAAGATAGTGATCGTCCCATCTTGGACGCGATGTTAAAACTTTGAATGGCTTGCTTGTAAATACGAATGTGTGGGTCTTAGAAATGTAATTGCATTAGAATTGTGGTATGTATGTAAATAACCCTGAAATTTGTACATCACATATGTGGGCTTGGTCATTTTAATTTCTGCTTAACATTTCAAACTGTCAAGTCATAACATCGCTCCTCAATCACACAGGTGGGCTTTTACAAAAATACCAACCAATTCTTATGTTTTCACAAATCCAAGAACAAAACTTTTAGCATGTAAATATTGCTATTTTAAACACTTTAGAAAGTGAAATACACCTTTTAACGTAGAGGTATGGCTATATAAATACATAGAACTTTAAGCGGTATGTATGTAAATCTTCCTAATTTCAAATTTTTTTTTTTTTTATGCATTGTCCAGGTTAGGAGGACATCAGTCTGCATCATCAAAATTATATTCCAGTCTCTTCAAATGTGCTATTTGCCAATTGGACCTTGCTCCTTGTGAGGGCATATCAGTTCATGCTGGCTCCAGGCCATGGGAAGGCCCTTTCCTCTGCGCCGACTGCCGGAACAAGAAGGACGCCATGGAAGGCAAGCGACCGAGCGGCGTGAAGGTCCCGTAGCTCTTCCTCACCTTCTCTATTCTTGATTCTTTTACTGGATTAACAAAAAAAAAAAATATTTTTTTTTTTATTTTGTCTGCCATTTTCCTGAACTTTTTCTTAATTACATGTTTAGAGGGTAGCTGGGTTAGTTAGTGATGATGGAATGTGGCATTTTATTATTAAATTCCTTTCTTTTGGAGGGCTTTAATCCTCAGAGTGTGTAGTAGCTTGTAACACATAGCTCAGAATATATTGTGGAATGAGTTCATAACATTATTGTTATTATTATTATTGTACATTTTATTAACAATTTACATGATTTGATGAATTTGTGGTGAGTTTGGAAAAGTGGATTGTTAGTGCATAAAATGCTGAATTTGGGGGGTGGATTTTGCAAAAGTGTTGATTGTCATTAAATCTTTATTAAGTGTGTATTATTTGGTCACAATTAAATCGAACTGATGAAGTTTGGTTGGTTCGATTCGGCTACAACATTGGATTTCGATTTTTAGTTCTTAAATTTTTAATATTCAGTTTTTATTTTGTGATTCTCTTTTAATTTTCAATTAGTCGGACGAACCGAAAAATTAAAGTTCTATTAAAATTTCTTATTATATTTTAATTTAATGTTAAATAAACCAAATTTTTATTTTTATTATTATATGTAATATTTGATTGAAATGAATTGATGATTTATAAAATTAAATTAACATTATGTAGATAAGTTATGTAATTTGTAATATTTATACTTAGTCAAATACCTATAAACTGTTAAATTTTGGTTTGTTTATAACCAAAATGATTTAACCCAGTCAACCTTCGGTTCAGTTGGTTTGGTTAGATTAAAATTTAGATTGGTTTGGCTTTATGGATTTTGGATTTCGCTTGCAATTGGTTTCACCAAGTTTAAAATCAATCCATCCAAACCGACTGAATGCTTACCCCTATTCATAAGCAGTCCCCATAGGCCAAGTCGTATGTTAGCAGATCTCGTGAGCCTAAAAAGCCTAATTTCCTTCTCTACAAAAAAGCATTAGACACCTCCATCTACCAAACTTGCTTGTTGAGGTGGTTTATGGAGCCCGCTTGTGAAGGGAAAAATATTACATCAGGACTCCTAACATAGAGCTAAGTTCGGATTGGAATATCCGACTGTGTTATGAGAATATTCCATCTGCGTTATTTGTTAAAATGATATGTTATTCGAGTATAATATAGTGTTATTTGATTATTTTTGCTGTGTTATTGGAATATTTCATCGCGTTACTTGATTTGGGGATGAAGTGTTATTGGAATATTCCCCCGCATTACTAATTTGGGGTTGTGTTATTCCAATAGCATAGTGAAAATTGAAAAAAACACAGGGAATATGCCAAATAATACAACCCCAAATCAAGTAACGCAGGGGAATATTCTAATAGCACCGCAAAATAATCGAATAACACCATATAATACTCAAATAACACATCATTTTTACAAATAAAGCAGATTGAATATTCTCATAACAAAGTCATATATTTCAATCTGAACGTAGCTCTATGTTAGGAGTCCTGATGTAATATTTTTCCTTTGTGAAGTGGTCTACAGAGCCTACTTGCTGAAGTGATCTGTGGTGCTCGTTTTTCTCAGATGAGGATATACAACATAAATGGGTGAGATATTTTGATAAATTTTTCAAGAATCTTAATATCATTAATAATATCATAAACACTTGTTGTTGTTGTTGTTATTACTTGAAGTTCATTTTCGAACATAGGTTTCTAACATAATGTTCAAATCTCTTGTTTGTACATGACATATGAACTCATCTTTTTCATTTTCCTTCATGGTAACTTAGGATGATTATCAACACTATGATGGTCAATAAATACATTCTAAATTATCTAAGAAAATATATTAAAAGATACATCCAAAGAGAAGGTGCATAGGTCAACAATGAAAAAGTTGGCAATCCCCATCTACATGCTTATACAAGGCATTTTCATTCATAATGTATTCTGAGATATTCATCCAAATAAATAAATAATTAAAAATTTACATGCATACAACATAATTCTTATGAATTTACGTATCTACCAATTAAAATTTGATATTTACATTCATGAAAATTTGATGTCCTTCACTTTTAAAAAAATTAATAATTGTTATATTTTGATATAATATTAATTATCTAAGTTCATTTGATTCCTATGTATTTACACATCTAACTCATAAAATTTAATTTAAACATAGATGCTATCTTACCATTTCACTTTTAAAAGTTAAACTAGTGATATTTTAGATGTGATGTGATGTATGTGAAATTTTTGATTGTATAAATGTAATAGCACAATTTAAGTGTAAGATATTAATGTATGGGAATTAGGAGGTTAAGAAAAAGGTGGTGCACAACTCACATGTCTGCACAAAGCTCAATCAAATCCAACAGACGAAAAGTATAAAGGATTACGATTAAGGAGAGGCCACTAATGAAAGACCCATGGTCCACGAACGGAAGACTAAGGGTCGACAAACAAAAGTCCAAGAGTCAGCAAGCCGAAGACTAACGATTTATCAAGACTAGGGGTGTAAACGAGTCGAACAAGAGTGATACTGGGCTCAGCTTGTGTTCGGCTTCTTAAAAAAAATCACTGTTCGTGTTCGGCTCGTTTATATTTCGAACAAAAAAAATATGTTCGAGTTCGCTTGTTTGCTTAACGAGTCGAACTCGAGTTGTTCGTGAACAAAAAAAACCATTTTGAGAACCCCAGTCATGCATGCAGCAGCTAGGGTTGTAAACGAGTCGAGCATGAGCAAGTCCAGACTCGGCTTATTAAAAAATATCACTGTTAGTGTTCGACTCGTTTATATATCGAGCTCAAAAAATTTCTTTTGTGTTTGGCTCGCTTGCTTATCGAGTCGAGCACGAACTATGCACAAATAATGAGCTACTTTGACAACTCTAATCACACAGTCATAAGATGTTAAAAGTGAGACGATATTTAAATATTATTATTTATATTAAAATATTATTTAAATATAATTATTATACTTTTTTTTCTATTTTACATTA